ACTAAAAGGCTTGTTATAACTGTTTACCTCTGTGTGGCAAACAGCTGAAATCCAGGTGATGCTTTCACTGAATTGCCATGTGCAGGAACAGAAAGAGTGCGGGACTCCAGCAGCGGTATCAACACAGATACAACATCCATTGGAGCCAAATCGATATCCTCCAACAGAATCCAGTACCCTGATTGCACTGCTTGTAATAGTGGACCAGGCTGCCAAGCAAACTCACCTGGGGTGTCTGTGCACACATATGTACCTAGTAAGGACTGATGACAAGCAGATAATTACACCTGGGAACTCTGCGTATTATGATTAAACCAAGTGAAACTAACTTACATGTAATGAGATCACCCTAGATTAAGCCAAGAAACTGTGACTGTGTGAATGAGGTGGTCTCATTAATGAGAATTTCAGATGAGAAAGACAGAGCATTTTAAAAATTAGAGGCCTAGAGAATGTGGTTACAATAACACAGGCATCTTATGAAATGTTGATCAAATGGTAGAGTTGCACAGGAAGAGACATGATGTTTTCCTGGTTTTTTACACTTTATGTAGTCTTCTGAGTGCCACAGACAATAACGGAAGAGTATGGGATAGTGGTGCGCATGAGGAAAGACATTCACATGATTACCGTAGTGTCATAAGATGGACCTTAAAGTCAACACCAGGGTCTTTGTGGCCTTATCCCTTTAAGCCCCAAAGGCCACATACAAATTCTCCTGACCGATCTCTATACATTTCCTTAAAGAATTAGTTGAGAGAATTTGATAAAAGATCAAGGATTTTTCTCTTTGGTGACCATAATATTAATTCTCATAAATTATCTCTTGACAATGTATGGACATTGTTAGGAGAAAATTGATGTTGGTCACTATTGGGAGTTAAAGGGATATACCATGTATATTAGTTGGCACAACAAAGGCATCCCAAGAATGTCGACAGATTTTGCAAAAACCTTACCACAGCTCATTAAGTGCCGTTGACCACCACCAGCAGGAATAGATCTGTGGGCTTGCATTTTGCTCGTACGCCTACAAATATCATATGAATTCAACCCCTAGTGAATTAGCCACCTACATGATCACCCACCACTTACCGAGTTGGTCCCATAGTGGGTTACCCCCTAATCCAGTTTAACTCTTTTAACCAGGTTACGCTTTGAAGAACATTGTATGGGGCTAACTTTACTATGAGGCTGACTCCGCTTCTTATGAGGCTAAGTGTAACCAAACATACCGGTATTTCCTATAAATGAAGTATAGTGTATATTTTACTTACCTTACTGTCAGTCTGGTCTCCAAGCTGAATCTTCATAAATTCTGGTGAGCTTGATCTACCTGTTGCCTTTGCTACATATTCAACTAAAGCTGTTTTGCCCGAACCAATAGGTCCCTCCAAAAGAACTCCACTGTCTGATGCTACAGAAAGCACCAGTGAACGAAGATTGTTTACTGTTGATGGTACCATAACAAGCAACTTGTCTGACAGATTAAAAGTGCCAGGTAACCTTGGCAACATGACGCCACAGATTGTTACATAGCGACCAACTAAATCCTCTTCAGTGATGACTGAACCTTCGTGGCTTCTACCGTCTACATCCATACAATCAGCAGCCACTGAAGATGGCTCTTTCCATTCCATACATTGTTGTATTAAATTGGATGGGTCTCTTGTTAACCATTCACTTAGTGTAAATTTATTGCGTTCTTCAATAGAGATACAGTTCTCCAGTAGACCAAGTTTAATCTGTTCTGACATTTCTGTTATCACTGCAACAATATTAACAGCGAACCATCTAACGTCAGGATTTCTGTATTGTAGAAGATTAAAGACAGGGCTCCAGTCCCAGATGCTATAAAAGATTTCAAAATCATAACACAGGAGATTGTATCCAGTTCTCAAAGCACACAAGATCCTTTCATTCGATTTCTCAGTGTACTCTTCAGCTTTGAAAAGCTCTGAGGACAAAGAACAAGACTTAATAAATCTATATATGAAGTCTTTCAAGTGAGATAACGGCAACAGGGTGCTGAGTGTATAGCAAAATCCTTCCTTGTACAACTTGTTTTCTTCAGGCCCTTGTTGAAGAATTTGAGCAGCTCGTTCAAGAACTTCAAGAAGTATTGGTCTGCAGTGTTTTACCAAGAGGGGAACAAAATCTTGACGAATACTTAGCTCAGCCAACTTCTGTAATAAATTTTGCCTTTCCTGAAAAGTCCAGCTCTGTGGAACGTGAAAATAAAGAAGAAAGAAGCGCTATAAATAAAAGCATAAGGTGACAGACTGCACAGTAAAACTAATGGTCAGAGTAATACTTGACGCCTCAAACTAAAATAGCGAAATATAATTTGCTAGGAAACGAAAAAAAGGTACATGCTTTATGTACTTACCGTCAATTGCAGAAAGTATCCAAGTTCATTCTTGCAACGAGTGTCACAGTCGGCTAAGGATTGCAAGGCGTCTAAAATCTCGAATCGAAAGCCCTTGATACCATTCATCTTACTCGATCAGTGATTTACGGGGGAAATTCATAAAATCCAACACAATTTAGAACTAAACACATGCTTTTCAAATAAAAACAAATGTTACACAAATTTCGTAAATTTGCACGTGCAGATAGCTGAGCCTTCAGTGTAAACTTTTACCACCCAGCGTTCAACTTTTCTAGTGCCAGGCCTGTTTGTGTTTGTCACCAGTCCCTTCGTTTAATACCGTTTCCAAGACAACGACCGTCTCTCTGAAGCGCCATTTTTCGCAATAACCTTCGTACATTTGCAACGAGAAACGATGGGGCAAGATTATTATGCTGTTTTAGGTCTCACAAGAAGTGTAAACGATGCAGAAATTAAAAAAGCGTAAGTTTAGTTTTCAAGGCTTCTAAACGATGTTTCTTTAACACCAAAATATGTATATTTTTTAACAAAAATCGATTTTCAATGCACTCACAGCTATCGCAAGTTATCGCTGAAATACCACCCAGACAAGAATCAGGAGCCAGGAGCTGAGTTGAAATTCAAACAAGTTGCGGAAGCGTACGATATACTGAGTGATCGTGAGTATAATTGCCATATAAACTAAATACAACCTAACTTCAGTCGAGCTAACACCTTTTTTTTTGCCCAGCAGAATTTAATTATGAGGTTGACGTTGCGTAAATTGTATTGCCCTTATTTCATAATCTTGAAACGTTACTTGTTTAATATTTGGGGTAAACTGTAGACTGGCCACTAGGATACGTGGATCCTTATGTTCCTACATCCTTGGTTCTAGAAGTAGAAGGCACATTGAAGCAAATGAAGGAGTATGTGAATAAGCGAAGTGGCTGTGTACGATGTTCTATATGGTTGCTTCCATCTGTGTATCCGTTTGATCTGAAAGCGTGGTGGCCGAGGGTCACTACTACCTGCAAACCAGCATAAAATGTCGTCATGTTAACATACAGGGTACCCACTATAGCTGCAGTTACATGTATTTACAGTGTACAACACGTTGCTATTTCTCGCGTTTAGTGGAAAATTTGTACACACGGGGAACTAGTGCTCAGTGAATTCAACCAATCAGTGAGAGGAGTACTGAACAGGCCCGGGGGAAGTACTTTAAGACTTTTGGGGTGGGGATGTGCCGCTGGGACCCTGGAACCCCTTGCCTATACCAGAGCTAGTTCAAGTGAATTTTGCTACCCTATACTAGACTAAACTCCCCAAATCCCCCCTATCCTTGAGTAGCTGTTTTCCAAAAACAACTGAGGTCATTAGCATGGTCCAGCCGAATTTGATTTTTTATATTCTTTAGTGGCAATTCCCGGTTTCCCTAGTCTAGACTAAAATCTTCAGACAATTGATCAGTTTAAATGGAAAATGATACCCTCTTTGATACCCTCTTCTGGACCCAAACTCTCTCATTTATATACCCTATCCCAGAGTAAAATACTTGAAAACCATACCCGTCACAGTGGCACATACCTATATAGCCAATATATGACAGTAACCCCCCCCCCCAACGGGTGTGAACAGGTCCTGAAACGATCCCCAGTAATTTCATAAATTTCTGTCTTTGAAATGCAACTTTTCTCTCTTTTTTCAGCTAAGAAAAGAGCAATCTATGATCAATTTGGAGAGGAAGGTCTGAAAGGAGGTGTTCCAGAGAAGGGTATGGAGTGGATTGTTCTGTAACTTGATTGTTATCATTCAGAAGGAATGACTGCCCCAGGATTACCCCTCACTGTTTCGTCATTTAGTGGAACTCTACACTGTATAGCCTTCTGTCATTGTTTCGAGGGGTAAATTCTGTGGTAAATGTAATGAATTCACGATAGCTGGAACATAATCTTTTCTTCAATGCGAACTACCACAAATTGTTCAATTCCTAGTTTAAGCTCACATCTTACCCATACTGAAGAATTTAGGCCCAATTCAAAGCACTTCCTTGAGAGTGGCTTTCCATTAAGGGTGTCTTGTGCAATGGGATGTGACTGTATGTGCCTGATATTTAGCCCTCAACACATACTGTAAGGGAGGGAGGTATGTCCCTGGTCTGAATTTCACGGTCGTTTCTCATTTTGAGGAGTAGGCCATGTCTCCATCAGTATTTAACCCATCTTTATGTCGTTTTTCACCATTTCATATTGTCTTATGTGACTGTGTTCAAGGCTATGTCGCTTGTTGGAATTTTTCCCTAAGGCAGGGCCTCACTGTCGTGTCGTCATGTAACCTGTCATGTTCTAACTATTGACCCTACATTGCTTGTATCATCATAAGGATTATGCTCAAATATCCTTACTATTATGATGAACAAATATTGCATGGAATACTACTGGTACATTGTACTTACTTGTCAAAACCTCTGTTGATTAACAGATGGATGGACAACGGGGTATACATTTCATGGGGATGCTGGTCGAGTGTTTGCAGAATTTTTTGGTGGAGATAACCCCTTTGCAGGTACATTGGTTTTGACCATTAATGTAAAGCAGGGATGGAGAGCTGGAACAAAAATAACTTTCCCCAAGGAGGGAGACCAGGGCCCCAACAATATTCCAGGTAACAAAGTCAGCTACCATACAGTAATGTAAGCCACATAGAGAACCCCTTTTGCAAGACTTTTGAGAGGAATGCCAATGGAGTATGAATTTCAGCCATTTTCCTATTGGTTTTTTAGGGAAGGAGAACAAAAAATTAATTTTTAGTTCAAAAACCGTGCTTGGTTTTGTTGAGCTGTTTTGGCTTTTGGCAAATTATTTTGAGTTTAATCTTTTTGTTTCTCTTTGTTATTTTTTCCTTATGCTTGGCTTTCCAATAGGAACTACACTTGTAAGCATTACATATCTAATTTTCTGCTTCATTTTTTTCAGCTGACATTGTGTTTATTGTAAAAGACAAGCCTCACCCAATATTCAAGCGTGATGATGACAACCTCATCTATACTGCCACTGTTCCTCTTGGAAAGGTAAATAAACATAATTGTGAATTAAAGCAATAATTTGCTATGTGTTGACCACTCACTTTTTAACCCCAAAATTTACTTCTAGCTACATGTACCACTTTCTCCCTACTAATTTTTGTTGATAATAATCCACTGGAAGTGGAAGGAAATGATTTTAAACAAAAAAGACTCAGGAGGGTGCAAAGAAAGTTTTACAGCCTGCCATTTGGGCAAACTTTAGCTAGCATGTACTAGCCCACAAGTCACTTCAACTAGCCCAAAACCCTTTTTGATTAGCAGGATTGATTACAATCCTTCTGTAACTTGAATAGGCCATTTGCACTAAAAGGCGTGTGACATCGTTTTTATGAAAATGAAAGTTGTATGATTTCGCCTTCGAAAAACGATTAGTAGGTCATATCTTAAACAAAATAATAGTGATTTGGTTTTTCAAACCCCACCATTTTCTTAAAATGAATAGGTTCGTAAATGGTCACGTGACCAAAATGAGATTTTTAAAATTATGAATTACCTCTCCCTGAACACAAATTTTGCACTTAAACTTCAAGGAAAATGTTGAAAAGATGTTGTGATAACGTTTACAGCACATCTGAGTGTAACTATGAAACGTTGAACACAAGATATAAGCAAGAAGTAGTTTTGGCCGCCATGTTGGAGGGCAAGAGCATGCCCTCCAACATGGCGGCCAATACAAATCATACTACTTTGCTGAAAATATTGTACTTACTTGTCAAAACCTCTGTTGATTAACAGATGGATGGACAACGGGGTATACATTTCATGGGGATGCTGGTCGAGTGTTTGCAGAATTTTTTGGTGGAGATAACCCCTTTGCAGGTACATTGGTTTTTTTTGTCTCACTTATTTGTCAATCAAAAACAAAACTAACCTAAATATGGCACACTTTGTCAGTTTTGAAAATTTTTCTCTGAGCGGTGAAATAGAAATGCTGAGTTTATCCCATATCTGATTCCTGTTTCAGAATTGTTTGATTCCTACGATCCAGAAATAGGGTTTGGCGGGATACATGGTCGCGGTCGCCGCAAGCAGGATCCACCCATTGAGAGAGAACTGTACCTTACCCTAGAAGAAGTGTTTAAAGGTTGTGTGAAGAAAATGAAAATTTCAAGAAGGGTAAGAAATGGTGTAGTACTACGTGCATTGTGGACATGTTCAATAATATTTTATTCTTGCTTCATTTTTTATTCTCCTCTGTTTTTGTATTTTTAATGAATAAAATAGCAGTTGTTGCCGTTTCCTTTAAGTCATAAAGTGGGGTTTATGCAAAAGATGTTCGAGGGCTTTCTGCAAAACAGGGCAGAAGATAAGCAGTAGGGATAGAAGGAGGAAAGCAAAGGAAATGTTTTCCTTTCTTTCTTCCCCAACCCTTCTTCCTGTTTTGACTAAATACGTGAAAAAATTCCCCAGAAACTGCACTACGAATAAAAAAATTCAAATTTAGAGGGAAAAATGGGCTAAATCTCAAACTAAAGCACAGAAAAGCTCAAAGGATGATATTTTATCCAGGAGATTTAGCGACCTGCACAGGAAAGCGGGAGATCGGTGCCGTATCTGGGAGAGTTGCCATATATGCCCTGTAGGTCAAAGCTTTTTTTAGACCTCTGATATTTATGTAACCTTTGGTCTCTCTGTCAGGTAATGAATGAAGATGGACACACATCAAACATCAGGGACAAGATTTTGACCATTAATGTAAAGCAGGGATGGAGAGCTGGAACAAAAATAACTTTCCCCAAGGAGGGAGACCAGGGCCCCAACAATATTCCAGGTAACAAAGTCAGCTACCATACAGTAATGTAAGCCACATAGAGAACCCCTTTTGCAAGACTTTTGAGAGGAATGCCAATGGAGTATGAATTTCAGCCATTTTCCTATTGGTTTTTTAGGGAAGGAGAACAAAAAATTAATTTTTAGTTCAAAAACCGTGCTTGGTTTTGTTGAGCTGTTTTGGCTTTTGGCAAATTATTTTGAGTTTAATCTTTTTGTTTCTCTTTGTTATTTTTTCCTTATGCTTGGCTTTCCAATAGGAACTACACTTGTAAGCATTACATATCTAATTTTCTGCTTCATTTTTTTCAGCTGACATTGTGTTTATTGTAAAAGACAAGCCTCACCCAATATTCAAGCGTGATGATGACAACCTCATCTATACTGCCACTGTTCCTCTTGGAAAGGTAAATAAACATAATTGTGAATTAAAGCAATAATTTGCTATGTGTTGACCACTCACTTTTTAACCCCAAAATTTACTTCTAGCTACATGTACCACTTTCTCCCTACTAATTTTTGTTGATAATAATCCACTGGAAGTGGAAGGAAATGATTTTAAACAAAAAAGACTCAGGAGGGTGCAAAGAAAGTTTTACAGCCTGCCATTTGGGCAAACTTTAGCTAGCATGTACTAGCCCACAAGTCACTTCAACTAGCCCAAAACCCTTTTTGATTAGCAGGATTGATTACAATCCTTCTGTAACTTGAATAGGCCATTTGCACTAAAAGGCGTGTGACATCGTTTTTATGAAAATGAAAGTTGTATGATTTCGCCTTCGAAAAACGATTAGTAGGTCATATCTTAAACAAAATAATAGTGATTTGGTTTTTCAAACCCCACCATTTTCTTAAAATGAATAGGTTCGTAAATGGTCACGTGACCAAAATGAGATTTTTAAAATTATGAATTACCTCTCCCTGAACACAAATTTTGCACTTAAACTTCAAGGAAAATGTTGAAAAGATGTTGTGATAACGTTTACAGCACATCTGAGTGTAACTATGAAACGTTGAACACAAGATATAAGCAAGAAGTAGTTTTGGCCGCCATGTTGGAGGGCAAGAGCATGCCCTCCAACATGGCGGCCAATACAAATCATACTACTTTGCTGAAAAATCAAAGTGCCGTAAAATATCTCCCTTAAATGCGTTTCCTCTCAAATTTCGGGTGTAAGATAATTTTTGTGTGCTATAACAATTTTTGGCATCAGCAAGACTCCAACTCACTGTTTAAAGGAAGCATTGGTCACATGACCTCTTAGTGCAAGTGGCCTATTTCCCCCAAAAACAGCACTTGCCCATCGGGCAAGTTGAGAACAAAAATCACTAGCCCGATAGCAAAATCCACTAGCCCCAGGCTATCAGACACGACTTTCTTTGCACGTTGCTCAGTATAAGCCAATGAGGCCCAAACAGCTGCAGGTAGAGCTATCTTGTTACTCTAGACAAGAAACTGTGTTAGTCTCTCTCTACCCAGTTGAACATTAAAATGGCTACCGCCAACATGCTAATACCTAGGTGTTTCCTGATACTGAAAAGCCCTCTTTCAAGTCCTCCCTGGATTGTATTTTAAGGGTTGCAGTTGCTGCCTGCAGTATGTAATGCTAGACAGTGCAAAGGGAGTGTTCTTTTCCAAAGAAACGATGCAGTGACATGGCTTAGAATGCTACATTCTACAGTCAAATCCATCAACCAATAACTACCACATGGGACTTAAATGGGGTGAATAAATTTTTTTTTTATTTCTGGTGAGCGGTTTAATGTAAGTCAATGATTATTGTTGTTGTACTAGGCACTCACTGGTTGTGTGGTAGATGTACCCACACTTGATGGCAGACTTATCAGCATTCCCATCAATGACATTGTCAAGTAAGTCAGAATGCATCCTAATCTTGGTGTTCCTGTGGTACAAAGCCACAAATTTTGGAGGTATTAGGGCGACTGTCAATTAGCTGCCCCCACTGATTTTCTCAGGGGGCATCTCGGCTGGGAAACTGGCCTCCTTTTGACTCATTTCATTTCAGTAGGTGACGAACGCGGATCCGTAATCAATGATTACCTCTAGTACTTAGATGTCCACAAACAAGCCATGAGAAAATTAAGTTGACAAACTGTGCCAAGTTAAAGTGGTCGGCAGGTTTACAGTGAGTCAGACTCCAAAAATTGAAAACTAGAGCTGTTTGTGGAGCATTGTGCAGTAGCGGATATAGGGGAGGAGTCCAGGCTCCTAGCTAATTTATGGGCTGAAGTGCAGCGTGGCTAAAATACAGGTCACTTTTCCACAGATCAGAGCACAGGTCACCATGATACAGATAAACAAACTGCATTAAAAGTGTCTCCAAGCCCTAATCTCCTAATAAAATGCTCTATTAGATCAAGGGGAATCTGTGTGGTTTGGTAATTTATCGATGGAGCAGTGACCTGTATAGCCTGCGAAAACATCCGTTTCTCCTTGCTCTTCTCCACTGGGGACGTTTCGCGCGGAGGAACGTCTGCGACTCAGCAGCAGAAATTCCATGCTGATGATGCAAATTAATGTTGACATAATAATTCCAGCAGTCATGGGGTTCCAAATATAAATTTGTCCAATTTTGTGTGTCTTGTGGTCGATTTTGGTAAAGTGTTGTGTTCATCTGCCCAGGAGCTCCAGCAAAAACTCAAATGCCTCTTCTAGAGAAGACTATATTCCACAAATATTGACTGCTTTGTTACAGATTCTTCGCATTTACATTTGACCTTTGTCTTTCGTCTGTCATTCGTAAACAATAGCTAAAACAATATAACTACCTCGTCGACCAATCAGTGCTTGTGACTGGATTCCGGACAGATTTTTACGTTATCAGTATGGAATTTCTGTCGCTGAGTCGCAGACATTCCTCTACACGAAACGTCCCCAGCGGTGAAGAGCGAGGAGAAACAGATATTTTTGCAGGCTATGGCCTGTACTCTTGACCTGTGGAATGTGACCGGTACTTTAGACCGGGCAGCTAAAGCAATCAACACAGGGCTGAGAGAAAATAATATTTTTTTAGTTTGGGCCCTTGCTCCTCTTCTCCCAGGGTTGGCATGAAAGTGACCTTCACCTTCTTAAAGATCTAGATTAAGCGATAAGCTTTGAAAGAAAATGTTGCAGCTTCATAAGTTTGTCGGAAAAGACTATTATTATACCATTAAACTTTGATAACTTCGCATTCCTTTTTCAGACCTGGATATCAAAAGATAGTTCCTGGTGAAGGAATGCCCATCTCCAAAAATCCTAATACAAAAGGAGATCTTATAATTCAGTTTAATATCGAGTTCCCAAACCAACTGAATCCAGANTTGTGTTCATCTGCCCAGGAGCTCCAGCAAAAACTCAAATGCCTCTTCTAGAGAAGACTATATTCCACAAATATTGACTGCTTTGTTACAGATTCTTCGCATTTACATTTGACCTTTGTCTTTCGTCTGTCATTCGTAAACAATAGCTAAAACAATATAACTACCTCGTCGACCAATCAGTGCTTGTGACTGGATTCCGGACAGATTTTTACGTTATCAGTATGGAATTTCTGTCGCTGAGTCGCAGACATTCCTCTACACGAAACGTCCCCAGCGGTGAAGAGCGAGGAGAAACAGATATTTTTGCAGGCTATGGCCTGTACTCTTGACCTGTGGAATGTGACCGGTACTTTAGACCGGGCAGCTAAAGCAATCAACACAGGGCTGAGAGAAAATAATATTTTTTTAGTTTGGGCCCTTGCTCCTCTTCTCCCAGGGTTGGCATGAAAGTGACCTTCACCTTCTTAAAGATCTAGATTAAGCGATAAGCTTTGAAAGAAAATGTTGCAGCTTCATAAGTTTGTCGGAAAAGACTATTATTATACCATTAAACTTTGATAACTTCGCATTCCTTTTTCAGACCTGGATATCAAAAGATAGTTCCTGGTGAAGGAATGCCCATCTCCAAAAATCCTAATACAAAAGGAGATCTTATAATTCAGTTTAATATCGAGTTCCCAAACCAACTGAATCCAGAGCAGAAGAGAATGTTAAAAGAAGCACTGCTGCTTGAATCATAAGCTGCCTACACCATATTGCCAGAAGACAACTGCATCATGAACAATATTTATTATAAATAATGATATTTCCATTTAACAGCTAGTTGAAGTTTTCAAACTATTACATATTGTATTCCACCATTTTGAAGTGGGAGGTGTATAATGAACAGTAGAATTTTTATATTTTGTACATAGTTGAACATAAAATACAGGTATTGCCTCTGAAATAAACAGTGTGAAAAATGAAAAAGTCTTGTTGCGCTTTCCAACTTCATAACGCACACATCTCGAGTCAAAACATGACAACGTGTTAATACTCTGTCTCTGTTAGCAGCATAATGTTCTGTATCCAAGAGCTGGCTTTATATGTGCCTGAAAAGATTAAACAAAACAAACTGTCACATTTAAAACCACCTTGCTGGAAACCAGGTTATGTATGGATGTCTAATTAACAGAGCGAACTCTGTTTGTGCCAGAAAAAGTGAAGGACACTTATTTTCTCACTTGTAGGCTACACATTGTCCCTCATTTTTTCTGCAAAGGACCATGCAAGTATTGTGGTTCAATTTTGAGTTTTGGGGTTCAAAAGTGACACTGGGAGCCCTTTCACTTTCACCTTTCACTTCTTTTGCTCCTTTCCCCTTTCCCCTTTATTTCATTTGAAAGGCATTAATTAGAAAAAGAAGTATAGGAGGGTAGTGGAACAAAAGTTTCACTGGAATAGGTCATTTCTGAGTGACCACCAGCCTCTGTTTCAAGGCGAGGCTTAGTGAAAAGCCATTGATATGAAAATGATTTTTCGTTCTCATGCAAATGAAACTCATTTTCACAGCAAGATTTTGCATTTGCCCTTGTTTTGAAAATGAGAGTTTTTGGAACTCAGGGGGTGTTTACATGACACCAGGGTGACTTTCGCTCCGGAGTGAGTTCACTCCAGTTCACTCTCATGGCTCTATATTTGTTTACATGGTACCACCACAAAATGTCATGCCGGCGCCAGTCACCCCAGTGTGAGTTCACCCCGATTCTTGTACCGGGGCAAGAATTTCACTCCGGAACGAAATCTCGCAACGGTATCATGTAGACGCAAAACGACCACCTGTTTCGGTGTGAAATCGGTCCGCCGCTAATGTTTGCGATTTTGAATCTTACGTGTACTTTATCAACATGAAGTGTACCTTCAAATAACGAGATATGAAATGACCCAGTCATAATGTAAACGTGATACGAAATAAAAAAGTCATCCCGGTATGAAACTCACGCCGGTGCGAGTTTTCTCATGTAAACACCCCCTCAGAAATAGCTTTGCCTGGCATCTTCCCCTTGGACTTAGTTCTCAGATACCAAATATATCAAATTATTTTTCTTTTTGGGATACAAGCAACTGGGTCTTTCTCAATGAGGTCATCAGCATTTGAACTTATACATGAAACTCACAGAAAAGGGAGCCATTGGTCCTATAAAATGATTGTATCTTCTGATGGCTTCACGTATGTGTTGAGGTTGAATACAGTCACCACTGCTGTTTAAGAGATTTGCTGCAGTACCCTGAAATAAAACAACAAGCAAATTAAGTATAAATTAGATTTCTGTCTTGAGTTCACAGAGGCCAGAAATCAGCCAAATTCCTCGGAAAGTGCATGTGTGACTAAAGGCATCACTTTTCCATAATGACTTACCCTGGGTGCCAGAGACTTTTCTAGCACAGTTTCCGGTCTCTGTCAAGTCTTCATAGTCACCTGCACCTATGGCCCTTGTTCTGGACCCCCAATGGACTCAACTCACACTACTGGAAATGCATTTCGAATNCACGCCGGTGCGAGTTTTCTCATGTAAACACCCCCTCAGAAATAGCTTTGCCTGGCATCTTCCCCTTGGACTTAGTTCTCAGATACCAAATATATCAAATTATTTTTCTTTTTGGGATACAAGCAACTGGGTCTTTCTCAATGAGGTCATCAGCATTTGAACTTATACATGAAACTCACAGAAAAGGGAGCCATTGGTCCTATAAAATGATTGTATCTTCTGATGGCTTCACGTATGTGTTGAGGTTGAATACAGTCACCACTGCTGTTTAAGAGATTTGCTGCAGTACCCTGAAATAAAACAACAAGCAAATTAAGTATAAATTAGATTTCTGTCTTGAGTTCACAGAGGCCAGAAATCAGCCAAATTCCTCGGAAAGTGCATGTGTGACTAAAGGCATCACTTTTCCATAATGACTTACCCTGGGTGCCAGAGACTTTTCTAGCACAGTTTCCGGTCTCTGTCAAGTCTTCATAGTCACCTGCACCTATGGCCCTTGTTCTGGACCCCCAATGGACTCAACTCACACTACTGGAAATGCATTTCGAATGTCTCTTTAACCTGATTGGCAAATCAACAATGGCTTTATTAACAGGCCAATCATGGCGAGTACTCAAATCCTGGTACACAGGTGGGGGCCCAGAACAAGGATTTTGGCACTGTTTTGCAGACCAACTAAACCAGAAGTTTATTTCTGTTTGTGACATACCGTATTTATTCGAATAAGCGCCCAACCTCAAATTAGCGCCCACCTCGAATAAGCGCCCATCCTAAAGGCAGAAAAAGTTAACAAGCACCCAGCCTCGAATAAGCACCCACCCCACCCCCTTCTCCTCCCAATCAAACTCAAATAGCCGCCCACCCCCACCCCACCTACTTGGGAGATAATGAGATTGAAATTGAAATTGAATAAGTACTAATAAGAGACTTCCCCAAAGAAGGAGTTTTCTCCCAAGTATTTTACAGAAACCTTGCTTTGTTACTTCTTTGCGTTTTGTTACTGGCATTTACTATTTTGTTGCAAAAAAAAATACTACACTAATTGCTGAAAATGGTGAAAATTTAATAAGTGCCCAGCCTCAAATAAGCGCCCACCTTGAATAAGCGCCCACTCTCAAGGTCCAAAAATTTAATAAGCACCCAGGGCGGTTAATCGAATAAATACGGTAGGCTACTTGGACCCATGGATGAATTTTAATATATTGAAATTAGCCTATTGTGACATATATAAAAAAAGCCATAGCACGTATACCAAGAGAATAATTCAAATGAATTTACCTTTAATTTCCTCTTCTTGTTCTTTTGTTTAGACACTGGATTCTGTGATGTAGCTGAAGTACTACTTGTCCCACTAGTGGTAGGGCTTGGTAGAAAAGGGGTAGTGGGCGTGGTGGGGGTACCAGGTGGAGTGTGGTTAGGGGTTGAGGGTGTAGATGTTACAGTAGCAGGTGTTGCAACTGAAGATTGACTCTCTGATAGGATGGAGACTGGTGGCATGACCTGTGTCATCATATCACCTCCTTCTAAATCTTTTTTCACCAACAAGGCCAAGTCAACAATCTGTCAAACCAGAAGCAAATTTCAAGTGAAAGCTCTTGGAAATGAACAGATTACCTGCACATATGTACGTATCACACAAACTTGCCAAGACCCTTAGTCATGAAATATCTTTAGAGTTAGCTTACATAGAAAAGTTATTATTAATACTATTACTTATGACTTGTAATTGAAAAGGTACTTTATCATACTTTCCTATTAATTTTAAATTACATCACCTTGTGAACATAGAAGTATTTCTGGTTGTTGCTTGTCTCAGCCCAAAACAGTTACTCACTGAAGTTAATTTTTGCACTGAGACAAATGACAACCAGAAATACATCTTTGTTGACAGGTTAAATTAGTTTCCTTGTCAAAAATTATTTTCCAGGGTTTTCAATAGCATCTGAAATACAAATACTAGTCAATGTTAAACAAAGCAGCGAAAGAGCTTTATATACATGTTTCTACAGAGACAAGGACTCAATAGCATGACAAAGCAGATCTAACACTTGGGTTTTCAAAAGCATTTGAGATACGTGTACTTAATGGTGTCACCCAATATCAAACAAACCAGAGAATAATATACATGTACATTGTTTCTAAAGAGAAGAAGGCTTAACATTTTGTTGCATATTCACTAGATTTATGATGTGCTAATAGTCATGTGGGTAATTGTAAAGAACAACGCCCCTAAACCGACTGTCAGCTAACTGTTGGCTGACAGTTAACCAATACATTAGCAACACCTATTACAGACAGTAACATCTGCAAGGAAAACTGTTTAAAATGAAACACCTAAGACACAATTTGACAGCATGCCTTGTTGTGTAAAAACTCGCTAGACTTTTGGCCAACAGTTGACTGACTGTCAGTCAACTGTTGGTCGTCTACTGGTTTAGGGGAGTTGCTCTTCACAACTATCATCATGTGTTCACACCTGTCCGACTGTCTCATAAGCCAGAAAGCTAAAGACTTCCATAACTGGTGTGTTGGGTTTCATGTCGATAAGGGAAGCACAGTCCAGCCACTCCTTGAACTTACCAGCTTTCTTATCTACAGGAATTAGAGAAATGGTTATTTCTTTATTTGCTGATTAATGATACATAACAAGTGTAATATTCTACAAGGTGGAAAAACAGTAGGACATGAAGCCCTTTAATACAAGGTTAAACGACCCAAAAACAACCCCCCCAAAACATAAGAAAGATAAAAACTATCCAGCCAGACGCCATAAGAAATAAAATTTTGAAGAAAAAGAATGAGGTATAAGGAAAAATTATATACATATCACAGATGTACTCAACAAGATCACACTGCAGAAGGAGTAACCTTACAACATTTTGGGCAAACAACCTTATGATCTTATGTTGCCCTGGTCAAACACTGCTCTTAATCCTTTAGTTTGCCTTTGAAAATTATTGCTGAGAGAAGTACTACTACGCTTACTGTTATTAGGTACATTAAGGCATTCCAGATGTTTACAAAATGAATAAAATATGACTGCCTAAAATTAGACATTTGGTGAATACAAACCAGTGCTAATAAAAAATAGAATTTAGTCTAATTTGGAGATGGAATAATGAAGGTCTCAAAGGATAGTAAGTATGTTCCTAAACAATGGTCACGCTGGTGAGAACTGCTACTATAGCTTTTAATTTAGGTTTCACGAATCTTAGCCCCTGGATAATCTAGCCATGCAAAGTAGTAAATAGTATTTGTGGCTCTAGTTGTGCTCAAAAAGAGGGGTAGCCATGTTATTTTTAGATTTTTGTCTTTACCAGGAGGTAAGAATGCAAAGGGGAAACAGACAGACAGAGAGGAAAGTTGACCTCAACTAATTAACAACAATACTTACTAAAGTTTGCCTGACGACACTCTGTAAACTCCATATATTGTTGAGGATCCAGCGTCCGTGATAAACGTTCTGCTCTCTAACAAACAAAGGATCTTATCAGTGTCACAGCAAAATATGAAAAGCAAAATGAAAAACAAAATAAAAATAATTAAATAAAGCTTATCCACCTCATTTCTTTCTTGCTTTACTTCATCTAAATCATCATCATCAAACAAAGCAACAAGTTCCCCTGAAAATAAAAAAGGGCATTAGGCATTTTCTTTCCTGATATGAACACAATATTTAGTATTAATTTTTTAAAAATAATAATCCAAAATGATTGCAACGGATACAGGATGGTAAGGAGTGGAGGTGTGCAAACCTGTTAATGTACGACAGGATTAGCTCAATTACTTAACTTTAATAAAGAAAAGACAAAACTAGATTACAGACGTGTTCAGAGATTCTCCATCTGCCCATGTGAATCACGTGATATCCCAGGGTTCCACTACAAACCATGTAAGGAGGAGTTGTACTGCTATAAATGGGCCTTATAGGTGTGTACAGCTTTGCAGGGCACGCAAGAGATCAGGGATTATCCCAGTTTTTGTAGAATGAGGCAGCTGGGGGTATTACTACTTCACAGGGTACCCAAAAGGTCAGGCGTTATCATAATTTTTGTAGAATGAAGTAGCTGGGGGTATTACTACTACACAGGGTACCAAAAAGGTCAGGCGTTATCATAATTTTTGTAGAATGAAGTAGCTGGGGGTATTACTACTACAGAGGGTACCCAAAAGGTCAGGCGTTATCATAATTTTTGTAGAATGAAGTAGCTGGGGGTATTACTACTACACAGGGTACCAAAAAGGTCAGGCGTTATCCCAGTTTTTGAAGGATAAAGCAGCTGGGGTATTACTACTTCACAGGGTGCCCAAGAGGTCACGCATTATCCCAGTTTTGGTAGAATGAAGCAGCTGGGAGTATTACTACTTCACAGGGTACCCAAGAGGTCAGGTGTTCTCCAAGGTTTTGTAGAATTAAGCAACTGGGGGTATTACTACTTCAAATGGTGCCCAAGATGTCAGGCATTATCCCAGTTTTTTGAAGGATAAAGCAGCTGAGGTTTTACTACTTCACAGGGTATCCAATAGGTCAGGTGTTCTCCAAGGTTTTGTAGAATTAAGCAACTGGGGGTATTACCACATCACAGGGTACCCAAGATGTCAGGCATTATCCCAGTTTTTTAAGGATAAAGCAGCTGGGGTATTACTACTTCACAGGGTACCCAATAGGTCAGGTGTTATCCCAGTTTTTTAAGAATGAAGCAGCTGGGAGTATTACGACTTCACAGGGCAAACATGAGGTCCAGGGTGGTCCCTGTTTTTGCGCAATTAAGCACCAACAAGCTTTGGTACTTCACAGAAAGTAACCCCTGAGGCCACATAATACCCACGAGACTAGAGTTCTATCCCAGTTTGCTAGGATCAAGCTCATGTATACATGTACAGCTGTAGTGTTAGAACTGTACCCCCTTCCTATTAGTCTGCTATTGGTTTATTCAAGTGTTAGCTAAGGCAGTAAAGTACTTTCAAAATAAATTCCATTCTGCTCAAATGATTTCTTAAATAGTGTTTATTTACCTGTTTGATCTATTGAGCTGATGAAGTCATAACAAACCTTCCGCCTCTTGTTCCCTTTCATTTCACTGGCTGCAACAAGAGACAAGAAATTTCCTTCAACAAAAATTCAGCTAACAGTCATAACTATGGAAGCAACATTTCTGGATCACAACAATAGTGAGCTTAAGCAACAACAATGACGACAACAACAAGAATGGTAAAAAAAGCAATAGGTTTATTAAGAAAAACAACAACTTTGCACATGCATCACGGTTTTTTGTAAATTTCTTAGCCACCATTGCACGAATACAACATGACAACTCCTTTTTTCACGCGCCTGCTTCATGGAGCACGTTAAAACAACACAAAAATTCTCTTGTTTTTCTAAACTTAGACATGGTCTTTTCCGATTCAACTCCAGACAAATTTGATGATTTGACAAATTAAATAAATAAAATCGATGAAGTTTAAAACAGTGCAAATTCACTTTTTAAGTGATATTTTCAGTTTATTGTCATCCAGTAATTTTGCTACCAAAGCAACGTGACATGACGACTTCTCCTCTCTATGGTCATCATCATCAGTATGTGATGGTGTGCAACGCTTGCAAAGCACAGGGTAGAAAGACATTCGATTTGGAAGTTATCACATTATAGTTCTACTAACACTAATTCTTTTAAATAAGACAGTGCTGAAGCACTATTAAAGCAGATGCTTTCCCAATGCTGCATTCACTGACCTCTGTTAAGTAGTCTGGGGTATAGAATGGTACCTCAAAAAACATGGGTCACAGAAAATTTTTGGCCCGATCTCAAAATATCGGAAGCGTTTTTGATGGGTCTCGAAGTCTCATTTTTGGGCAATTCTTTCACCTTGGAGTCCAAATTTTTTTCCAGTGGCTATTGGAGTCTCAAATTTGCCCTCAGAAGTTGAACTTTTCAGAATTTATGGGTACATCTTATTGAACTGAGGTAGTAGATTAAGACAGTAAAACAAGACAAAGCAGGATATTGGCATGCTTCCCCTGGCTTCCATTGGTATATTAATTTTTGGTCATTTTATTTAGCTTTGATTTATTTGTACCATTATCTCAAAATTTTTGGCGCTTAGAGTCTCTCGCTTGGATTTTTTAAAAGCAAAGTCTTGGGCTCAGAATTATTGATAAACACACTTTCCTTAAAAGTTTCAGTCTTGAATTTTGAATTTTGAATTTTGGGTCACACAGTCTTGTAAAATCTAGAATTTACCATTCTATACCCCAATGTCAGGTGTATACTGACAAACACATACATGGACTAAAATTTACCAAAATAAATAACCTGAAACTTCCAAGACTTCATCATCATCTTGAGATGTTTGTTTCTGGGATTTATTCTTCATGTCCTTGAAGTTCAGATATCTGATTAACCTCCTAAGCTTTTCCTATAACATAACGATAATTTACTTAACTCTTGTTATACTCTACAGTGCAAAATCAGTAGATACGGAGCAATCTGTCCCAAAATAAATCGAGTTTTCAGGTTTTAAAGTTTCACTTCTGCCATTGACTTTTATGTTTTGCTTTTTCCTCTACCTTCTTTCTTTTTTTTTTTGCATTTTCTTGCACTGTTTTTATTTCTTTTCTGTGGAGAAAGTTTTAAGGACAACTAACACTTTTAGAAAGACTGAAACTGTGCAGATGAGTAGTGGAAATAGATTTTCAAAGGAATCTTTGTATTTTCATGCCCATTCAACTTTTGTTTGAAAGATCTTTCCCCCCTGTACATGACAAAGTTGTCTGTGATCATTTAAAATGATAATGATCAAGAACGTATGTGTGCATTTATATTCTGAATCTGTAAAGGAAAAGGCAAATGTTTTAAAGATGGGAATTCTACAATATACATGTAATTAGTGGCAAGGATGTTATGAGTCTGGAAAATTGTTGAATCAATAATACAATAGTCATTGAATTATCCTTTCATATAGTATGAAGAAGCCTATAGTTCATAAGTCCCCCTTCTATATAGGCTTCCTTGCCAATAGAATTTTGAACATTTTGTAAAATAATTTAGAATAGTGTTTAGCATCTTTACTATTTTATAAATCTATTGTGTATTATTATAAATGTATTTCACATGGTTTTAGGCAACATCGATAGATGGACAGACAATTGGAGAGAAGGGTGGACGGACAGATGGTTGGATGGATGGATGGATAGATGGATGGATGAATGGATACTACATGTAGATAGATGGATGAATTTCCAGATCTTATACAGCATCATCTCCCCTGGTCTTTGGCCTTGGCAGATAACACCCTCCTCAATTTTCATAATTCTTCATATAATTCTTGGCCTCATCCAATAATAATAATTATTAAAATTATAATTATTATTTTCATGGGGGAGTGTTATGTTATATCTACATAAAACCTACTTTGTCTTTCCTCATCAAAAAAATGATATCTTCAACACTCATGAATCTTCCACCCCTCATATTTGTTACCTCAGCAGCTCGCACAACCTGTTGATTTATGAGAAAGTAGGGCGAGTTGTGGAACAAGACTTTCATTGGAATTTTCTGGTTAATTTTACACCATTTTTGCATTTTTCTTGACTTTGACTGAATGATCGGACCCATTCAGGTATGCCTTTAAAGATCTCTTCCTTATACGCAAGTTGGGTGTCAAAGTTATCTGTGCCCATTAAAGCTGATAATGTTACAGCCAGTACAAGGGACATTGAAACATATGGGTAGTTACATGCAGTTGAAATGTAATATTGAGGCTCTTCTGTCAGTTTTACTTCAAATCCGCTCAGTTTTTCCTCATACAAAGCAGTTAGGCAGATATGCTTAGTCACTCAATCCCTCCAAGGAGCCATCCTCTCTAATCAGCTTCCCTGCAATACCGATGAGTCACCTGACTACTTCACCCCTTTATCGATTAAGTTTCTTTTGCAATGAATGGCTCGCAACGTGCCCCTTCTCTAATAAACCAGTTAAAATTCCTAAACCAGGCCTTATCCATATCAGCCAACTCTCCTAGAATACGGAATACGGTCACTGGCGGCATTTTTATCACGTATTTTATCACTTACAAAGTGGTTTGCAGTACATGTAGGATTACATGAAAAGTCCTGAGCCCCACCCACTTTATGATTTGGTCAGTGAGTTGATTGTGTGCATCAGGGATGAGGTGAGATACTCTACAGATTTTAAATCTCCACAGCTGGGCATTTCTACTTATCTAAAATACATGTACCCACAGACTCTAACAGATAACCTGTTCTCCATAAAAGCTCCCTCCCCCCCCCCAAAACAAAAAGGCCCTCTGACAGACTGCACTTTTGTAGACACAACCTTGCTTCACAATAAACCTCTACCATAATTCCTCTAATAAAACTTATGTATATCCCCCCTTTAAGCACCTCTCTCAAATGGAACCTCCTCTGATAGACCCCTCCTGTGCTAATAAACAAGTCATTCCTCTAAGAAATCCCTTCTGTCATAAACCCATTCTCTGATAGACCTCCCTGTTCTAATCTCCTTGTATAATACACCCTCTAATATACTCCAATAATTATTACCCCCTCAAATAAGCCCCATTCACTAGGAAATTGTCCTTTAATAACCACTGCTGTCAAAACACCTTCTCAGGAGATCCTGCTCTAGAAGACCTCTTCAATAAAACCTTCTATATTTATCAACATTTATAAGCATCCACGTCATTGTAGCTATGCAGGCAGCAATATAAGCTTCAACTGTTTTAGTTGATATTGTCGAGAGCTTGTGCTTCATTGAAATCTTTTTAAGGGATGTCGTAATGCCATTCTTGAGAGTTTAATAAAATTGAGTCTTTACAAGACACCACTCGATAAAAATTCCCTCCTCCTATACTTAAATGTCACTAAACACTCCGAAATTCTGAACAGCCAATAAATCATCCCTTCAATTAAGATAAAGACATGCATATCTATAAAATCAAGATCATACCAAGCTTGCCATCTGTGAATGAACAATTTCTTCAATAAGAGTGGCTGATTGTGTGGAAGGCTTTCTTGAATCACCAAATGCATACCTAGATAACAAGCAAAGGTTATCTCATTTGGTAACATCTTCTGTACATGCATATGTTACAGGTCAAAGTTAAATTCAGGTGAAATTTTTTTTAACCTCGGTTGATTCTCAATTTTCTTAGTCCACTAACCCTAATTATTTTATAAAGCAGGGCTAAAAGATGAAGGAAATTTAGAATTAATCTATGAGTAGGTTAAAAAATTTCAACCTGAATGTAACTTTGACCACTAACACATACAAAGAGCTGAGACACATTATTAAGAATTAATTACATATAATTAACTAACAATGTTTAATTGACAATAAACTTTCAAATTGTTAGAGTGCTTATGTCCACTGCAAAACAGTAACCAATTCATTTGAATTATATTCTCGATTAGCAACTTTGAAACTGTTACAATTTTTGTCCACAGTATTTAGGATCAAGATCCATGGTGTGATGTTGTGCAATATAAGTTAAGTATATATGACCAATGAAGTGGTTGTTATGTTAATGCCGCATACATGTACTTGATAAATATAACAAATGGGTACAGCATCAATACCCGCCGACAAACAGTATTTGCTAAAAACAACGTCAATGTCCATAACCATGGAGCCATATGTATTTAACACTCCACAGAGCAAAGAGAATAGCTTTTGCGACGTCAGTAATAAGCATGACCATACTGTCTGCATGCCCACTTGAATACCTCCCACTGTGGGCTTAACTACCACCCTCGGTGAGCGGCAACAACAAATGAAAGGTTCAACTTTTAATCCCAGTATTGTAACACATGTATATTACAAAAGGAAACTAGATGACAAAGATGAAGATATCTTAAACTCGTCACACTTCTGAAAACTATTTTTTAAATCACACTTTTTCATTTGTTTTTTCTCATTTTACTCCAATTTAATTCCATTGTGGAAAAATAAGGGGTGTAGTTGAGTCTTAAAATAAAAGCCAAGGGTAGACTCATTCAAGTGAAATATAATTTTCCATTTTCAGTTGCCTTAATAGAGAGAGAGAAGTTACAATGACTCAACCATTTTCCACTTTCCCATATTTAATACACCAGGAAAACATTCCAAACCAAGCAAAAGGTTACCCATATATATATATATGTACATGTATATATATCGTGATTTTCTTTGGGCGAACAAATTTGAATCTGGGTGAAATGCCATCATTATCTTCTACTTAAGGTCAAGGTTCTTTAGTTAGTAAATAGAGGAGGGGCAAACTCTCACGTTTTCACTAAAGACCCTTCATTGCATGTCATCTCCCTCGTGCTTGGGTTGGGTCCCACATCTTTGTGCACGCTCATAACAGTTTATGACACGAGACCCAGACTGACCAAACAAAACTCAATAATGTTTGGTATAATGACTCAAATTTAGTAAAATTGCGGCTGTGCAAGGTATTGGCTGTGAAAGAGACACCGCTTAGTATTACAAATATTGCCATGGCGGAGAGTGATATTAAAATTATTTGTGCCAAAAATACCACCCCATTAAAAATCACACTTTAATTCCAATCTAACAAATCAAGCAGATCAATATAGATGTACAAAGCAAGAGTTTACCTTGTTAGAATAATCACTAAACTATGCATAATATTACACACCTTACCAAAGATCTACTAATTTTAGGAAGGACAAACTAGCTAACCACACGTTAAAGTTTAAAATGAAGTATTTCAGCATAAAGTATCAAAACTACTTCTCTTCTTAAAGCAAATTATTTTAGCGCAGTGGGAGACAATCAGGCTGGGTTATCATAAGCTGAAGTAGGTCAAGGAATTACTCCTTAGTTTAGCTCCCTTAGAGAGAAAATATACTCACGCAAAGTATTAAGTTCATTAAACTTACAATCATCACTAGGGATTGAATCTTTGCTTCATATGGCTTTTTTCGCACATAACTCAAAGAATGGAGAAATTTTACCTGCATCAAAAGTATTAATACTCTTGGTTTAGTTTTTATGACCAAAATTCCAAGAAGTCTGCAGTCCCTCTAGTCTGACAACTAACCTTTCTCGTTGCATTTTTCACTTGCATGCAAGATATTGATTTTTTTAAATGATCAGATGAATTGTCCTTAAGAAGGAAACAACACTTAGCAAAAATGTCCCTTGAAGTTTAATATTATTATAAGCTACACTTTGCAAAGATGTTTGAGATTTTTTTTTCAAGTGTAAAACAAGTTTCTCTACTCCAACAAGGAATGTAGGTACAAAAACAGGCCAAATTCCAATTCACAAAAAATAGTTGAAGAATTTAATTCACAGAAAACAAATAGTTAAAAAACTTAACATTTGACACAATTTCTTAAATGGCCACACAGATAAGAGAAGTTTGCCATGCCATATTCTATTTCGGTTTGATTTGTACAAGTCTTACAATGTTTCCCCCTTCCCCCACCCCCATGTGATAGGATGTTTACAGCATTGGTCCTAAATTAGTGGACTTTAAAATCTACTTTTAAGAACTCATCAACAGATAAACCCCAAGTAGCTCACTGCCAGGGAAAATTATCCTCACAAAACTCCAGTTCGTGACAAACATGATTGACAAGAGTTGCCTGAAGGCAGATTGACCACTCTAGTGACATTTTACATAAGCAGGACCCACAGAAAACTGATTAACTATGTGAGCAGGAAAGTTTAATAAGAGCTGATGACAGGTAAGCAGATCAACAGTAATTAAATGTTTTTCTTTTCAATAAAAGATCTGTTTATGCCCTTAATGCAGCCAAGTTAAAGAATATTCTCACCAATTTTTCTCCACCCTCTCTGGTTTTCCAGTCTCCTCAAAATGTGGCAGATAAGTAGACACTTATTGGATGTACTGCCATTAAACATTGTATTTCTTTGGTTTTGTTTGTTTGTTTGTTTGTTTTTTAAGTTGGCTAGTTTTGCTTTTTTTTACTGTTTTTGCTTAAGTTGGTTAGTCTCTACCTATTTTCTCATTCTCTAATAACAAAACAACTGGAATCATTTACACTGCAAAAAAAAAGGAATACATGAATTACCAAATAATCAGTGACTTTCAAAATGATTCTTTCTATAACTTAAGAACAGGATAAAAAAAATCAGCAACTAGGTTATAAAATAATACTACCGGTAGGCTTCATTAAAAAAAAAATTCACCCAATTCACTTCCTGAACTAACACAGGTTGCCAAGAATATGAAAAACCAAAATGAGGCTGACTCGTCCCCAGTTGTCTCCAAGTTGTCTCTATTCAGAAAATGAGGTGGCCAACCTCCAGGCAGTCGGTACATGTTAAGCATTCAGGAATGAAATAGCAATGATTCATTGTGTTATCTTCTGGCACAGGAATTGATCAACTTAATTCAATCTATAGCAATATTAATAATTTAAGAGGCAACTGTTGATTTTTCTCATCTGTAAACAGTCTGTTTTTACTCTGATTGCAAACCTTTAAATATCATCTGTCACCCTGCATTATTTTTAGCCAGTCCAAAAAGATTTGGCCATTATCTAATGTTCTGTTGTTTTATTTTGATAAGGCAAACTAGGAAACTATTAATCTGCCCCACCATTTTATCAGAAAAGAACTTTGCCCTTTCAGTCTCAAAGTTAAAAGTGGAAGTTATGAAAAGTGACATTCCAACTTTGGAGTCTGTGGATGAGATAACCTTGTAGAGTCATTCAAATAAAACCTCTTCAGCAGTACTTTCACATGGTACTATTTACTTATTATGTAATACTACTACATGAGAAATTTCTAACATTTGATTGGCTTAGAGCAGTGGTATTTCAGCTTAATTTGAAATACCTACATGTGAAAATTACAAACCTTGTGGGGGTAGTAGTATAAACAACATTACTAATAGCATGATTTGTATGTGATATTTGGCGTAAATACAACTCGTGATATTTCAAAATTGTCTCAAATTTCACTTGCCTAACGACTTTTAAAATTACATACAACAATTTCAAAATATCACTTGTGGTATTTATGTTTAATATTACTACAAATCATGCTATTACCAATACTAATTCTAACATTTGATTCTGGGAATTTAATCCTACACTGTGACCATTCAAAAGAAACCTCTTTAGCAGTACATTTACTTTCACATGGTACCGTTAAATTGGTATTTAATTTTAGCTGTTGGGTCTATGAATGAATATCTATGGTGTGACCATGCACATGAAGTACCTACCACATGATTCATTTATTTATTTTTTCTTTAAAAATAAAACTTGGCATTTTCCCTGAATTTTGGTTTTGGACAGCTATTAGGGTCGAGAAAAGGTCGAGATCTTGACTTAGAAAACAGTCCCCTACTGACAAATTTTTCAACAAAGTGAAATCTTTGTAACTTTGAATAAAACTAATAGATAAGCACACATCATCATAATTATCATTTATTGGCAATTTCCTTTTTTGCTTCGCAATTTCAGTGTATATGCAAACATGATCCTCCTATTCACAGCTCAACCACATTAATATCACTACCGGGATTTGTAAGGAAAACAAATCACATTGTGGTGTTTAAGTACACAAACTTAGGTCACAAATTTTGTTAAGGGGGGTAGTTTTTAATAGCTTTAGTGCTGCTTCATATGGCATTAATCCCATAGACAAGTTTAATACTTTTATTATGAATTAAGTTATTTAAAAGTGAAGTAATCTCATAGTATGATGACACTTCTCTTTTAATCATTTGCAGTAGGGGTCTCTTTGTGTTAAATTAATGGCCTTAACGTATAGAAAATTTGAGAAATTTACATGCCATTTAGTCAGAAGTATTATTAAAATCGGATTTGCTGGCATGCACCAGCTGAAGGAAAGCCTTGTGGTAATGATATTTTTATGGAGGCTAAGGTTAAAACTCGTCCTTCGCTGTAAAACAACAGCATTAAAATTTTCCTATCTCTTAGAATGACAATAAAAGATTTCAAACCAAAATAAAAAATAGGCATCAATTACAAAATTGTACTACCGAGTCAGTTTATTTTTGAGACAACAGTTGGTCCACCACAGCTTATTTCTGTTCGTGGCGAAACGTCGTGGAAGCAGAGGCGCTAAAAATACCTTGGTGAAAATAACTCTATGATTAGGTCAATTTACATGTCTCGTCTATATATTCTGCCTGATTTGACGACAAATCGACTTGACATGCATCTTTAGTTCAAGTCTGAGGGGAAAGAGATAGTGAAGACCCTGGTGAATTCTAGGAGATAAGATAGCGTGACAAGATATTCACAACAGCTCAGAATGTGGCAATGTCTTGTAATTCTTTTGCACTGTTCAATCCGCTCTGCTCCACGTGGCCTTAATTGAATCGAACGGATCATCGATTTAGTAAACAAGCTTAAACAGTCGCGTTCTCACGCAATTGAGTTTTCACACACAAATGTGCATTTATCGATAAACCCTATTCTCTGAGAAACCGCGACCACATTATTGTGGTGATAATCACACTTGTCACAAACGTTTTGCGGCCTCTTCGTGGGAAAATATTTTGTCAATTGTACAAGCCTCTTGAGTGCACTTTCGCTTCCTGGCCCGAGGGCAAATCATTATCCGAAACTGTCAAAAAACGTCGTGCAGAATTAAAGACCTATTATTCTATTCAACAATTGGCCTCAGGAAATCAGAACAAAACCGCCATGTAATGAGCTGATATCAAACGAATCGGCACCATTTCGGTGAGCTTTTTTGTTCAAAAAAAAGCGACAAACGAGCCGCGATTTCAACACAAATGCACAGCAGCAAGTCCGCCGAGAGTGGACAAATACATATACCTCTATCAACCCTCTTAAGACAATTGTAAACAATTGGAGGCTCGACCTCCAACGTCGATGTGTTTGCAAATCGAGAGTATTGTTATCAAAGTGTGGTTGCCTAGATGGGTCATTATCAAATCCACAGCGGTTAGAACTTCAACAAAAACACGTTTGCAGAACAATTATCCGTGACCGCGAGGTTATTGTCGCGTAAACTAGACTGGGACGTTACTGTAGGCGCGAATGCTTTGGTGTTTGTAGGGCAAATAAGATTATGACACCAACCCAGATCGATTTTCTGTTTACTTACATCATATTTAGAATTTCGCTTTGAAACCATGGCTTTGGCAGTCTCGAACTTGAAGTGACAGGACTTTGAATAGCAGGAGTCGGCGGACGAATGTCACATGAACTTGGGGGCTGTGAACCGGAAATCAATCAGTTAGTTCTTTGAATAACCGTTGCATTCATCGAATTCAAAATTCAATTAAATTCTTACGATACGCTCAGCTACGCTGTGAGGTCCAATAATTACTTCTTGTTCGTCACGAAAGGTTTAGTCAACTATTAATCGAACACAAAACATGTGTTCCTTCACTCGCACGTGAATCACATCCAAAATGGCGGCCTTCAAGCGACAAGGCTTCAGTGAATTCGTAATAAAATTTGATACATTTCACTCACTCTGCTGTCGCCAGCGTTGGGCGGATTATTAATTTCCTTTCCTTTGTCGCTTTTCTTGCTCTTGGATTTAGACTTGGTCATGTTTTGCTCGATTTTTGACCAAAATAGGGCTGACGACACCAAGAACTCACAATACTCAGCCGGAAATGACTTATTTTCCCACAATGCTTCGACAAAAAGGCGCGAAACGTGACAGCGAATCAAACAACGAGTAGGCGGCAATGTTCAGGCATGTAAATTTCACGGCTGCTGAAATCAACAAGTGGTATCACATGATAAAAAAAACGCAGAAAACACTTTTAAAAGCCGAACATACGCACTGTACGTGTTACAAGGAAATTTTACATTGCTAACTTCCTATTGTGAATGACGCACTATTATGAAGTATTCTTGAGAATATTTTTTTTCGATATTAGTCATCATCTTTTAGATTGCATTTTTTCCGTCAAGTGGGAGCAGAATTTGCCTTAGGGAAGCTCCTGTTTCAGTGAATAATTTCACTCACGTTTACTTTTACTACGTAAAAAAGTCATTTCCGTTCATGACTGACTGTCACGGCGACTGCCGTTAGTCCATGCAATAAAAGAACTCGCTATTTCCCCGTTTGTATTTCCCACGTGTTTCAACTAGTCCGCTAATTGGCGAAATTTGCGGCGGTTAAGTTTTTCAATGTCATTAAACAATGATTCTCGTGAAGGCATCAAACCACAGGAACGCTCGAGAAATGGAAAGAAACTTCAACGGAATGCGGGGGTAAAAATATATGATTGGCGGAATGCCAACAGTGGGCGTGGGACAAGGATAACCGCCCGTCGCTATTGGCTCAGATGTTGCACATCACACATAAACGCAAAACAAGCTCGAACAACAGATGTCAAAATCGCAGGGGAGTGGTTGGCTGAAAGCATTTCATTTTGTTTCACCGTCCGGTAGTGTGCCAAACTTGCCACACATATTCCCGTGGCTCACTCTTGTGGTTTACACATTGGAGAACCATGACCACTGCGACAGAAAGTGCGGGACCACGGAAAATTAGAGGCGAACGATCGCTCATTGAAGCCCTGGCCGAGTACCCAGGCGAGCTTGTGAAAACCGATTCTCCTAACTTTGTTTGTAGCGTGTTGCCATCGCATTGGAGATGTAATAAGACTCTGCCGGTCGCTTTCAAAGTTGTCGCGCTCGGCGATATTCCTGATGGAGTGATCGTCTCGATTGCTGCGGGCAATGACGAGAATTTTGCAGCTGAACTGCGCAATTCCACGGCCGTAATGAAAAATCAGGTGGCGCGATTCAACGATTTGCGATTCGTAGGTCGCAGCGGAAGAGGTAAGCAAAACGTGCTGTACGTGCCATCGCTTTTGACGCAGTAGGTAGAGAGGCGCTCACTTACTGCATTTTGTAAGGAATCAGTCATCTGGAAAAGACATACACTCATGAAAACATGTCATGAATTATATAGGCTTCAAAACAGCTTGTCAATTTCAACTGTCTGTCTGCTAGCTACAGCATTACCTGTGTTTTTGTCCCGACTGTTTACGTGATATTTATACATTTTTTCCTTTTCTTCACCTGTGCATAGGAAAAACCTTCACATTGACCATAACGGTAAAAACGGACCCTCCTCAAGTCGCCACATACTGTCGAGCTATTAAGGTGACCGTAGACGGACCGCGGGAACCACGCAGTAAGTTCTAACAAAATCTCTTCCTCATTTTTTGGGTTGTTTGACAAATGTATTTGTGGTTCACCTGACCCCATAGAAGCCAAAGAAAGTTTAGAAACTTAAAATCAGAGTTGTATCACAACGTCTAATAATTACTTCAGCTGATTTTATCCCGTTAAAATTGTTTTGTTGAATAAAAAAAAATTATCGAGTTTACCCTGGAAAAAAATGATTCTCCTCTTTTCAAAGAATTTTAAACTCTGATTCCGACGTTGATTTGATTTTGAAAATTAATTCGCAATCATGAGATAATAATCTATAACCAGGAGGAAATTTCGTGATTCTTTTTTAGCTTTTAATATTTCGAGGTCTTCGCGGCCACAACAAATTCATTCCGAAGCTTTCCTAGGCGTACTGTTTTTGCCGCAATGGCCTGACTTTGCCGATACCGTCGAAACCTTAAGACAGATAAAAAAAATTTGCGGCTTCTCTCTGAAACGGGTGCTAGTATGTTGTTTATATTCATGAATACTAGCCGACTCAACCGCAAATAAACATAGTCACTGTTTAGATAAATAGAACCAACCCGTTGTCTCTTTCTATAGCTGTGCCACGCGTAGCGGGGACAAGTGATTTAGGCGATACGCGGGAAAATGATTAATGTTTAATTTGCAATTAATGATTCAGAAAACGGGCGCAAGCTATTGGTTGGTGGCATAATTGAATTGATTATGGTATGTTTTTAAGACTCCATACCTAACAGATGCAGGTGGTATGGCAGGTGGCAATTGAGACTCACATCATTTCACCTGTCCATTGGAAGGCTTTTATGAATGCATTTGTTAATCTAATAGCATTTCTCTTTCTTCTTAATCCCGCTAATAAATCAGATAAAAAGAAATGCCCTGAAATTGGATGTCACTCTCTTCTGACACAAGGAGTCTCGGAAATTGAAAGCAAACACTTTGGTCAACTTTTCGTACACCCTCACTAACTCTTTTGGCAAACAGAGTTTGGGGAGTTTATTTTCAATTTTGGGGGCATACAGTTGTGGCAAGATTGAGTAATTGGTTTTTAGTGTTGGTTTTTATCTGATCTTTCCCTGTGAAGGAAGTTCAATTTGCCTTTCGGGATTCCCTTTTAAATTGAATTAGTGCAGTAATTGATTTCTCTCTTATGTGATTTTATTTCTGATTTCTGAGTGGTTCAAAGGAAAGTATTACTCTATTTGCTCAGCAAGCTAAAGAGAAAGAATTTTTTAGTTGATCTCACTGTTAATTTCCATAATTGGTACCATACAGAAAAAATGGGTTACAATTTTATCTTGAGCGATGAAAACTCAGCTTGACTATAAGCCTTTCATAAGTCAATTAAGTTTTTTCTTTCAAAGCAGTCTGGCATTTTACATAATTTTTCTAATACCCCACCAAGCATCAACAAAATCCATATTTTATGGTATCAAGGTCAAAATAAGGACTTCTTACTTGAAACTACCGAATCATATAGATGTCCAAAAATCAAAATTCATGGTTTTGATGCCCAAAAAAACAAAGCGAGTAAACTGGAACATAGCTATGCATATACGTATACAAGAATGGACAATTTGATTATTGATGGTGGCAAATTCTGTCACGGTTGGGTATTATGTTGTTAAATTTTTTATTACTAACATAGAAGCTTTGTGTACAAAAAAAATTTCAATTAAAAGCCAGATGTCCAGAAAATTCAATAAGTTCTTCTGAGAACAATTTTCAATAACCTGACTCAAAGAATTTGACATTTTTGTTTCTATCAAATTTAAAAAGTCTTTTAAAATCAATTAAAGTGTGTTTTTTTCTTTTTTTTCATTCTTTGCACATAATTCTGCTTTGGATATGTTCTAGTATGATGAAAATGTATGTAAGAAACCTTGACTTTCATGTGGTTTTATCTTGTAAGGTTTAAGTGAAACATAAGACTAGGTTGTATGGATAAAACCACACATATACTTCATTCTATTGACTCTTTTGGAGTTCCATTTTACCTCACCATCCATAACTTCACCCTCAAACCACAAAACAGGAGATCATTTTTTGAAAATTACTTATATTAGATAGAAATAGTGTGTAAACCATTTCCCAAAGTATAATACTTCCTTACCCACTTTGGTCTTATTTTGGTTTAGCTGATCTTGAAATAAAACCTCAACTGAAATCATATTAAATTCATCCGTTAAAAACAACCACTAAATCGTCTGAGGGATTTGAACTTCAAGCAACTCCTATTCATGTTTCTTTTTAATAAGAAGACTTTCATTTTCACCTTGGTAAAGAAAAAATACTTGCCACTTAATCATTAGGTATTGAAAGGACTATTATTACGTTTAGAAATCATGCAAATTTCTATTGACTGTGAGAAAAATATTTTAATTTTCATCAAAAGGTTTTTAGTTACGTTATTTCGTTGGGTTTAGCATTGCAAAATACTACAGTAACTGTACTTCAGAGTAGAAATGATGCGGAAATCTTGTTGTTAAAAATGAAATAATTAGCCATGTTCTCGGTTTTTTATTTTAAGGAAAAAATAATCATTAATCTTGAGAAGATAATACTGAGCTGAAATATATCTGATATATAAACTAAGAAAATACCATAAGCAAAGGTGTCAATTCAATGTTAATGTGAATAAGTTTCACTTTAAATTTTGGAACTGGTGTAAATACTTCAGAAAAAAATACAGAAAGTCTGACTAAACCAATTTTTTGTATAGTAATCTTCATGAGAACTGGTGAATACCGAGTTACATAAATTATTATCTTTAATAGTTTAGTTTTCCCTCTACCTTTGTGAATAAGAATGCGGAAAATTTAATTTTGCAACGTAGCAAAACTGAAGGTGAACGTAGATAGAAAAAAAAATCGATAGCTCTTCTTGAAATACCTAGTTTTACTGTCTCGATTGAGATTCTCAGGTAGATTTGACGTTTTCCACACCGCAATTTTAATAGAATTATACCTCTGACAAAGATTCCAAGGGTATGGATTCTGATAACACTTTTAACTTCCCACTGTTAACACTTGGATCGAAACATTGCGGATATCGGGAAAAAGAAACCATGCTGGTTTTCGCTTGTATTTTATCTCGGAAAATGTTTTACACGAGGAGTTAAGCATTTTGCTTTGCGTTGCGTATTGTATACATATATACAGAGTTGGTGTTCCTGTAGTTAGCGTTTTATTCATGTTTATATAAAATAGCAGAAATTTTGTGTAATCAGGGTTTTTCGTGATGAATGTACCTCAAGTCGCGTTGCGCTTTCTGTGTAGAATATTCCTCCGCAGTTATTTCGAAATTTCACTTTATGGGAAATTGGCCATTTTCTAACCTCTAACGTTTTCCAAAACAAAAATTGTTTTAATTTCTCTTTCCGACCAACGTTGACATCATAGTTTGATTTTTAGAAAATATTCTTTTTTCTCCCACACGACTTTTAACCGATTTTGGGGTGTGTCGTTGATAAGGATTGGTCGCGAATTCTATAATTTTAT